AAATATATTTCTCTTTCAATACTTATATATAATTTATATATACTATTCATTTCGGGAGTGGATTCCGTGCCTATTCAACAATACTATAACATTTAACATCCGCTAACATCTCTCTCTCTCTCTGCCTATTGTTATAAATCTAACAAAAAGTCAATTTTATATAACAAGTGATGGCCTTATCGTGAAAACAGTCAATGAAAACATATAATATACTGCAAATCAAACTACACATACTGTAACAAACCGACCACTTGTTCATTAGAGTAGAATAACATACAAAAATAAGAAAGCACATTTCTGAAATAAGTGAGCTTTTTATCATCTGACCATTTTCTATTTTGTCAAGAATTTCAATTATATTTTTTAGCCAATAGCATAGTAGTTACAGAATTTTTAACATGCTTAAATATTTTAATGATAAACTTGGGCATTTTTAAAATGTGTAATTATTTTATCTAGATTGCAATAGATTGTTTTATTTAACCCCGGTTTAATTAAAATTGATTATTTTACATTTAAATTGCCATAGTATTATTTTAAATATTTAATACATGTTTTAACTTTTTGAAAGCATTTACTTGAATTCATCATGAATTAGTAATTTAACTCAACGAGTCTTTTATACATAATAAATTACTCGAACTCGGATTATAAATAAAAAGTTAAGCTAAACACAATTAAAGTTTAGAACACGATAAGTTTATAAATAATTAATAAAACATCCATGTTGCATAATACCAGTTTAGATTACTTAATATAAATTTGAATAATGAATAAATATTTTTCAATGCATTGCAGTTTAACAATAAAAAAGTTTTTTACATTCACCAATCATTTATTTCAACAATGAATTAAATATTTATATAATAATACAGTATATACTTAAAACATCGTGTTTAATTCTAAAACATTTTCATTATTAATGAACATAACATTTGCATTACCATAACCTCCCGATTATAACCCTATAGGTGTAACTATGGTAACACTGGACCAGTCATTGGCGGTAAACGTGGTGGAGGCACACGTTGGCGACAACGTAGAGATCCGGTGCGATATCATGGGTGAACCACAGCCACCGGCCATCAAATGGACCAGGTTCAATGTAGACCTCAACACCGTAAACATACCTAACATGAAGGTAAATAATAACTAATTAACCATTTTAGTAAAAATCTAACTAGACTATTTTTACACCTAGGTCTTTAGCGATGGTTCACTATACCTGACCAATGTTCAGCTCTCGTTCAGCGGGAACTACACGTGTCAGGCAGTTAACAACCCGCTGGTAAAACAGGTCCATATTCTCCATACAATCGGTAAGTGCCGTGTTTTAGATGATTAAATCGACAGTTGACTGTAATTTACATAATTGCTACAAAAACTTGCATTATATCAAAATATTTCATTTCACATTTATTGATTAAATTATTTGAAAATCTATACCATTTCTAAATCTTAATCACTGAAAGCGCTATTTGTGAACAACAAGTACATTTTTATTTACGTTTACATAGAAGAAATTTTAGACAAGTTACGATAGTTGAAATTATTTTGTTGCAAACTGTAAATTTTAAATTATGATGAAATAAACAGGGTATATAAATTAATACGCTATTTATATTTAAGGTATTAAATAAATAAATAAATCGCTGTAGTAATGATAAATCTAATAAATCATATATAAAACATATATAAAACATATATAAAATATGAAAATTAAAATATAAAACTTTAAAAACACAAAATATGCATGTCATTAGTTTATATATTTTTTAATTTTGTAATTATCATTAAATAGAATATTTCACAATTGTCATAATAAGTAAAAATTTATTATTAATTAAAAAATATTTGCAACTAGTCAACTTTAAATATTATATCAAGCATATCCATTCAATGTTTACACTCCCCCTACCAGTGCCACCATTAGTATCCGTATCGCCGCGTTTCCAATGGGAACCGATCGGAGGGTTGGCTACAATTGACTGTCGCTACGAGTCCTTCGAGGACACGGTCTCTATCGAGTGGTACAAAAACGAAGAGCTACTGTTGGGCACCAACGCGCGCACCGTAATCATGAACAACGCGACCAGGGTGCAAATCGGTCAGCTCACCCGCACGGACACCGGTGCCTACTCGTGCCGGGTCACCGACAAACGACCCGCGGACACCCCTAACGGCCCGACGGGCACC